TTACTGTGAGGATCATTTCATAATATGTAAAAATATTCAATCACTTTGATGTACACCAAATACTAATGGGATATTGTATGTCAGTTATACTTCCATTAAAGAATATGGCAGGATTTCAGGTTAGGTTCATCTGATTTCAAAGCTCAGGTGTGTTGTTTATGACCCTTCCATTTCTTGGTATTTCCTCCATGAATATCCTATTCAAACTGAACTCTTCTTTATTCCTTCCACAAATGTGCCTAATTCTTTTCTATCTCTCTACCTTTTACTCATCATACTTCCAACTCTGGAATGCCCTTCCCTCTCATCTCTTCATGTATGAATTTTACTAATCTGTCAGAGACCTCTGCCATGACACTTTTCTTGAATTCCCAGCCAGAAGTAATCTCAGTTCTGTTTGTCGGCTACATACCAATTAGCATGGTTCCTGTGCTTTAACTGCTCAGTACACGCTAGTGAATGATGTTAAATTCTATTCTATAACATTGTACATGAATTATTTCATATTCACAGAATACTTCTAAAAGCTTGGGGCGCCTAGGTGGCTCAGTTGTTTGAGCGTCCAACTTCGGCTCAGGTCATGATCTCACAGCTCGTGAGTTCAAGCCCCGCATTAGGCTCTGTGCTGACAGCTCGGAGCCTGGAGCCTGCTTCAGATTCTGTGCCTCCCTCTCTCTGCTCCAGCCCACTCACTTTCTGTCTCTGTCTCTCTCAAAAATAAATAAACATTAAAAAAAATTATAATTAAAAAAAATAAAAGCTCAAGTAAGTTAGAAGACTTTTTCTAAGCTTGTTATTTTAGAGAACGTGGACAGTCATAATGCTAATCTATGTGTAGTGAGAGAAACTGACTAAAAGATAGGTCTCTTATTTCAATTCGAAATTGCAGGTATGTTTAGTAATTTTCTCTAAGCAGTTTTTACACACCTCATTTCCTTTTCATCAGCAATGTTTTGTAGCTGCAGGTGTAAAATGTAGGTTGACCATGTAAAACTGTCTTGGATACAGGCTGTCATTTTGCAAATTCCACTGGATAATTGGTATTTTTATAAATTATATAATAAAGGATATATAAATTATGCTTCTCATTTGGATTTTCTCCAAAAAAAAGGCCGTGGAATTACAAAAGCCAGATCACCTTTCTCCATTTAATCAAGGGCATTTTTGATGGTTGCCATTGACACACAGGTTTTGCTTTATTCACTTTATTTCATTTAGTATTTTTAAAGGCATTAATCTAAGAGCCATGGAGGGTATAAGGAAAATATAAGTGTCTGCAAAAATATAGCCTAGTCTGAAAGAGATAATGAACAATACAAGGTACTATGAAATCAAATTATCAGTGTAATGGTACAGATTGTGGATTCAGAAGATGGAGACATTTATAGTCTTTTCTAAATAATTTAGTGCTTGATTACCCACTGTCTTGTACTATGTATTAAATTACTTATAAGAAACATTAAAAAGCTTTTGCCTTATAGTCTGCATGAAATACGCCTCAGTTTTTCTGACTTTGTCACAAGGGTAGTCACCAGGACCAGCCCTTGCAGTGAATCATTCCTCAAGGGATTATCTCTTATCCCTGGAATTAAATTCTGTCTCTACCAATTTGTGTTAATAGCTAACAAATATTGGTCTCAAAATCTACCCAAGTAGTCACAGTCTTTACTCTAGATGTATTATCTGTAAAGCATTAGTGTTTAATTTTTTTTTTTTTTTTGCTTTTCTTTCTAAATTTTCTTTCCTCTTCTATGTTTTATTTTATTCTTTGATTTTTGGCTTCATAGGGAAAAATAAAACCCATGCTATGTGCCTGATAGCATGCTATTTACTTTTCATATGTATTCTCTCATTTTATCTGCACACATAAACAATAACTTTCTTCTAGACAGTTATTAATCATTTTCATTTTTAAAGTTAAGAAAACTGAAGTCCAGAGAGGTTAAATAAATTGTCCAACATTGAGCAGACAAGTTTTCCACAGACTTCAGTATCTGGTATTAGAATGTAAGTTTGTATGCTTTTTTATAGTAGCATTTGCTAAAAGGCAAAGAATTGGATTTAGTGTTGTTTATCTTGTGCTAACAAAAGTTGAGTAGCAAATAGCACAGAATTGAAGATGAGACAGATAATGGAATGAAATACCATGAGTGAGAGCCAGAGATACAGAAACAGATCCATAAAGACTTCAGGTATTGGAATTATCAGGCACAGATTAACAACAACAACAATAATTGCTTGCTATTTTCCACTAAATAAAAACAAGCTTGAAATTGTCAGGAAACTAGGGGCTCCTGGATGGCTCAGTCGGTTAAGCATCCGACTTCGGCCTAGGTCTTGATCTTGCAATTTGTGAGTTCAAGCCCCATGTCAGGCTCTGTGCTGACAGCTCGGAGCCTGGAGCCTGCTTCAGATTCTGTGTCTCCCTCTCTCTCTGCTCCTCCTCTCTTCATGATCTGTCTCTGTCTCTCAAAAATATATAAATGTAAAAAAAAAAAAATTAAAAAAAAATTGTTAGGAAACTGAAAAATGCCAAATAGTGATGTTGCATATTTGAAAAAGAACCAAATAGAAATTTTAGAAATGTGAAGTATCAGTGAAATTAAGAAAATAGTTTGATAGCAGACTCGACATTGCCGAAAAAGAGCTAATAAACTGGAAAATGAGTATAAAAAGCTATTCAGAATGCAACACAGAAAGACAACAATGAATATACAAAAGAGAGAATAAATAATGAAAATAAAGACTCTAACATTATTTCACTGGAGTTCAGTAAACATTAGCTATTATTATTACTATATCACTTCAGAATTAAATATACACTATATACCAACATAACTTCCCTTTACTTATTTAAACTTATCTCCAGCTTCTTCCTAACATAAAACAATATCTTTATCTATGCTCTTTTTATCTCCATGCCCTTATGTTTTATGATCTGTCCCAGCTTTCTTGCCTGAAAACTGAAGGCTTTCACAGCCTCTTCCTTCCCAGCCAGTCTGATGATTGTTCCTCCCTTGCTTTTTCATTAAGCTTCATTTATCTGTTATAAAATTTCAAGTTATATGGCATTATACTTTGTCTACAATTCTGATATCATATTTGACTGTATACTTCTTAAGGGCATGGATTTTTAAACATTTTATTAAACTTAATTTTTCAAAGCAGTTTTAGGTTTGTAGAAAAATTGAGCATCAGGTATCGAGGTTTCTCTTGTACCCTGCCCCCACACAAGCACAGCTTCCCCCACTATGGACATGACCCACCATACTGGTACATTTGTTACAATCAGTGAATCTACAATGACCCATCATTATCATCCAATGTCCATAGTTTATGCTAAGATTCACTCTTGATGGGTTTAGGCAAATGTATAATGACATGTATCCACTGTTATCATATCATACAGAATAGTTTTACTGCCCTAAAAGTCCTCTGTGCTCCACCTATCTTTCCCTACCCTCTACCCTCTGCCTAGAGGCTCTTTTCCATTTATCCTTAGAATATAACATAATACCTGATACATAGTTGCCCCCAAATAAATGATTTTAGATGTATGGTTGAATGAATGAAAGGGAGGGACAAATTGGAGAGAATCAGGACTTCTTTTCATTGTCTTGCTGACTGATATTTTGTCTCTGTTTTAGTAGTTACTCATACCAATTATATCCTAGACAGAAGACCACCCCATATTACTGTCTTTTGGAACTCTGTGTTTCTTGAGATTCTAATTCAGATCTCACCTTATCCATTAAACCTGAGTCAAGAGTAAGCTCTGGACACTGTTAAGACTTATTTAATAAATGATCTATTTAATTCAATATATCACACTTATATATTTTTGTTTCTTAAGCCTATGTCTGGACTCCCCAGTGAAACTGAATTATGTTTTTATGTGGGTAGAGTTTTCATCCCCTCACTTTTTATGAGCAAGAGGCATCTTCATTACTTACTACTTTTTACTTGGGACTGTAGGCAATGGCCATAGAATACAAAACCTTGCAGGTCCATAAAGAATTGACAGTCTCAGTCTTTGCATCAATTCAGCTGTCTAGAACAGAAACTTATTGGGAACTAATTAAAAACATAACAAGGAAGTAATTTGTTTTAGATTTGAGCTTGCAACAGTTTCCAAACAAAGCTATAGAGGATTGTCAAATTGTTGTTAAAATAATATAACTTCTATGTGCTACCAAGAGTTATTTTTGGAACTTTCCCATCCTTTTCCAAGTGATTTAAACATTCTAAAACTGCATCTTTTTTGTTATTTTGTTTCGATAAAAATTTAAGAAGAGAGTTTTATGCATGTTGCTGATTTTAAAGTCATCACTTTATTTTTCCTTTGACCCTCATACTGAGCAAAAGAGAGAAATAATTTAGATTTTTGAAATTTTATTCGATTAGCTTGATTATAGAAGATGTGTTTATCTGGGTGTGATTGTTTTGTGTTAGTCTACATTGTAAAACCATTGTTCACACATGTCAGTTTTTCCTCAATTTTAATTCACCGGGATGGTTCTCTATAGTTTGAGGGATTTCTGGGGGACGTGCTTTCAGGAGGCTTGAATTTGGGTTTTATGACTCAGGAAGATATGAAACTTCCACTTTAATAAATATCAATACCCATATGAAAGATTATGGGGAAAAGTTAGCCCAATCATATAAAAAAATCTTATTGTTTTTAGTTAAGGTGAAGTTTTGCCCTTTGTATAGTAAACGCAGTCTTAATAGCTGTGTTGGGTATCTATCATGAATTGAATAATAATACTCTTCCTTTTTGGAATAATACTACAGGGTATGATATTTACCATTCCAAAAGAAAGTAAAGCATTCAGTAAACATTATCTTTAAAATATACTGCTATGCATATTCCTCATTATGATCTTGTAATTGATACCAGTTTTAACCTGAATTCTCAATTCATGTTCACTAAAGTAATTTCAAGTCTTAAAAGGTAAACTGAGTGATAAGGTTTATGGCAGTTCTATTTTTATTCACAGATAATGCATCTGAGGTAGCAATTACTGCTCCAGGAAGTAGTAACCATAGAAACAGCTCAACAGGCCCAACACCCGACTGCTCACCTCCATCCCCTGACACTGCCCTCAAAAATATTGTAAAAGTTATTCGACCCCAGGTAAGTGCCCAGATGATATCACCTGCAGTAGTGTATTTTGTTTTGGAATCATTGCATGTATACTGCTTATATTGCAGTGCTTGGACTATTTTATGATATGCAAATAGATTTTTAGATTAAAAGAAGAGACTTGGAAGAGGATGTTTCCTAACCTTGGAGTTGATGACAGATACTGAAATCCATACTAGCTTTTGGAAAAATGAATTTATATATCACGTGAAAAAACAAGTGAAACTTAGAAAATTTACTATTTCATATCACTTTTCTCTCACTACATTTTAATAATTATGCTCCAATTATTAAACTATTACATGTTTTCTGGGTTTTCATGCTCCTTTTGTCTTCACTTCTGTCGACATGCTGCATTATTTGTGATCACCTCTCCATCTTCCAACCTAAGTTGTTTCGATATATTTTCTTTACATTCTCTATTCCTTGTGGTTGCCTTTTGTCCTTGTTTAAAAAATTTCTTTTAATATTTATTTATTTTTGGAAGAGAGAGAGACAGAGTGTGAGAGGAGGAGGGGCAGAGAGAGAGGGAGACACAGAATCCAAAGCAGGCTCCAGGCTCTGAGCTGTCAGCACAGAGCCTGATGCAGGGCTTGAACTCAAAAACTGCGAGATCATTACTTGAGCTGAAGTCAGACACTTAACCAACTAAGCCACCCAGGCGCCCCTCCTTTTGTCCATGTTTAATATTGCACCCCTCATTGCACCTTATTTTTCTCCAGTGCTCACTTTTCTCTAGCTTGTCTCTCTCTACCTTTTGTCCTTTTTTCATTTCTGTCACTTGTATGTATGGGTTTCTTTCTCTTCCCTCTTCTCTTTCAGTTGGATTTTCCAGTAGGCGGTTTGCAGGCAAGCTTTAGAAATATCATTGGGACAAGCTGTTCTGTGATATTTCATTGAAAATAGCACTTATAAAGCTGTTTGCATTATATTTTTGCCAACAGATGGACTCAGAACATGGAATTGGTGGTGTTCTCAACCTGGCTCATTCTGAATGGGCCTCATAAAATCCAAGAGAGGGGGACTTTGGATCCAATCAATGCCATTCACCATCCACTTAGATATATAGTATGAGCAAATCCTTTGAGCCAATTTGTAAGACAAATGTCTCTTTTTAAGACTGTTTTGGTCTAAATGAGCAATGATTTGCTTAATATCTTACCTTCTTCAGGATGATTTATTTTAGTTTATTTTCATTATAACCATCCTCATCAATAAATAGCATTTTGACCTTAAATATTCACTATATTTATAGAATACTTTCATATAAATAGTTTCATTTAACCATCATTAATTTCAAGGGAATGTGATATTGTGTTATGAATAAAGCTGTTGACACTACAAGGGGCTAATTGTACAACTGATTCAAGTTCCTTTTTTTCCCTTCAGTATAATAGTTGTCTCCTCCTGCTCAGAGGTTAGAAAAATCTTCTTGAGGTTGTACAACATCTGTATGAGGATGGAACTTACAAGTTCATTTTGGCAAGGTAACATTTCACAGTGTCCAACTGTGTGGAAGAGGAAGTGTCTTCAAAGATCCCTTCTTTTCTTCCAGAAAAATTTGATCTACTTCATTTGCTTCAAGACATAAACCTCATTAAAGCCAGATTTAGATGCTAAATGTCACATTTATCTTCACTTGTTCTCTCATTATATGAAGGTGTTTCTAGTGTTATTGTGCAGCCATTACATTTTCAGCATTTTTAATTACTTAGGTAGGAGATTATCTTATATATATGTTAACATCCATTACTAAACACATTTATTTTTACATCAGCATAACTATCTAATGTAAATGCATTTAGCCACTCAGTGAATAAAAAGCAGATTTTCTTTCTACATATTTGTAATCTAACCAATTCTAAGGGATCTTACTCTGTAAATCCTTCTTTGCATTCTCTATTCTATTTTAGTTTATTTTAGGTAAACTGAAAAAAAGTATTGGTAGTATGAAAGCCAGAAATTCCTTTTGACTCTGTTCCTTGGTTCTGTCCATTATTAAATGTTTATGAAGGCAACTGATTCTACCTTCCGTTCTTAGATGTTATAATGATGATTTAGGAAGGAAAAAAAAATGAAGTGAGAAATTCAGGAAACCAATGATGATGGTATTTAAATTTGAACCAGTGCAGCCTGAAAGTATGTATGTAATAGAACAGTAGCAGCTAAGGTGTATAGTTGGAAAATAATATAACCTCACTTGGACTACTCTTACTTTTGTCTCAAAGACTTTGGTGTTTTACTTATTTCTTCTGATCTTCTGGGCTCCATATTCATGGCAGAGAGCAGGAAGTAGAAGATTCAAGTGGAGGTAATTATGAGGGAGTATAGGTCAGACACATGATTTCAAGAAAGGGTTTGGAGACTAGAGGGCATGGATGGGGGATAGCTAGATGGACAGTGTAACAGACTCCCTGGTGTGCTCTGACAAGTCACAGGTGTATCAGAGATGGAATATTGTCAAGAGTTAACTGTTTCAAAGAAAAGATAATTATTGGTTAGCTTATATAAGAGCCTATATTTTGATCACAGATTTAATCCTCTAAAGTGTCTGCTAATTCTGGCTTTATGTGTGGAAATGTAGGAAATGTGAAGTTAGAATGACTTGTGGTAGTATTGAAATATGTTTTTTTTTTTACTAATTAGAAATTAATAACATGGTTGAAGTGATCATTTCACTCTTGAAACTGTTGATGAGCCTTGGAAACAAAAGTATAAATACAACTGTTATCCATGAATTTACATTTATTTGCCCAGGTGTTAGTAGTAGATGTATTCAGTCTTATTGTAAGAAGAATGAGAAAGAATAAATAGAAATGATAGAATAGATAGAAATGAAAACAGAACTTTCATCTCATTCACTGCAAACAAAGACTGCTTAGATAGAGCAAGTTAGGTTACTTCCCTTTGCTTCATGCATGCCTTTACCTAACATACTTTCCATAACTACCTATTAATGGAGAATATCCATTGTAACCAAAGAGTCCTTGCTGTCAAAATGAGATAGGCCTGATTACACATTGCATGTGTTTCTGGTTGGTGTGTTAATTACTTGGAAGCTACCAACTTGCAGTGCTTTGTTGAGTTTGACTTACTCAGCATATTTATTAACTCACTAAGTCACAGCTGTTAGTTCTGCATCTTGTGTTTGATCTTTTTACCTTTGCCTCTTTGGGCTCTTTCGTGTCTTAAAAATGTCCAGATTATGAAGCATTCTATTTTCAATTAACAGACACTGAAATATTTATATGCTACTGGTTATTCTTTGTTTTTCTCCACTATATTGACCCACAAGGCTGAGTTTTTCTATTTAAATGAATTCACAAGGGTGAGTTTATTTACTTATATTTGAAAATAAAATTATTTTGGAACTCAAAAAAAGGACTTCAAAACACTTGAAAAAATATTGCCGTTGAAAAAAATTTTAGGTAAGTCTGTTGACACACCAAGTTTTCTTCTTTCTACTAATTACATGCTTCTTGCAATAACTTTTCTTCTTTTAAAATGTTTTCTTGGTGAAGCATCTTTTTTTTCTCCCCAACTGAAGAATAAAACAAAATTTAATGAATTTTGACCATTGCATATGTAGGTGTAATCACCACTCAAAGCAAGATATTAAAACATTGTCATCATCCCTGAAAGTTGCTTCATGCCCCTTTTCAATCAACTACCCCCATTCCCTCCTTGAAAGCAACTTCTTTCTTTCTTTCTTTTTTAATGTTTATTCATGTTTGAGAGACAGAGAGACACAGAGTGTGAGTGGGGGAGGGGCAGAGAGCAATGGAGACACAGAATCCCAAGCAGGCTCCAGGCTCTGAGCTGTCAGCACAGACTGACATGGGGCTTTAAACTCACAGCAAGAGATCATGACCTGAGTCGAAGTTGGTTCCTTAACCAACTGAGCCATCCAAGTGCCCCGAAAATAACTTCTTTCTGATTATTATTGCCATAGATTAGAATTGTCTATTCTTGGACTTTACGTAAATGGAATCCTCCAGTGTGTGTGTGTTTTGTGTATGTCAATGTCTGACTTTTTTAACTCAACATAATGTTTTTGGGATTCACTCATATTGTTCCTTTATTGCTGAGTAGTATTCTCTTAGATTAATATAGTACAATTTGTTTATCCATTTTCCTGTTGATTGATACTTGTGTTGTTTTCCTGCTGTTTGATATTTTGAACGAATGTGCTATGAATACTCACATTCAAATCCTTTTATGGACATATGTTTTTGTATACATACCAAAGAGTGGAATTGTTGGGTCATAAAGTAGATGAGTAAATAACTTTATAAGAAACTTCCCAAGAACTTTTCAGAGTAGTTGTTCCATTTTATAATCACAAGAGAAAGGTGTGAGAATTTTAGTTTCTCCACATCTCTCAGACTTTTGGTGTATTAGACTTTTAAATTTTTTTTACTGTAATCATTCTTACGGGTGTGAAAAGATTTCTAATTATAGTTTTAATTTGCATTTTTCTTGTAACTAATAATATTGAGCACCTTTTCCTGTGGTTATTGATCATTCTTAGATCTTTTGAGGAGCACCTATTCAAGTTTTTTTTTTAATGGAGTTGTTTAAATTTCTGGTTGTAGTAATTATTTATAAATTGTCTTGTAATTCCTAAAGATATGAGTCCTTTGTCAGGTTTCTGCACTGCAAATATTTTTCCTCAGTCTGTGATTTACCTAAATATTTTTGATGGTGAATTTGGTGAACAGAATGTTTTAATTTTGGTGACACCCAATTTATCAATTGTCGTCTTTCATGGCTAGTGTTTTTTGGGTCTTGTCCAGGTAGTGAATATGTGCACCTATATTTTTTACAGAAGATTTCTGGTTCTTGTTTTTACATTTAGTTCTATGATTCATCTCAAATTGTTGTTGTATGGTGTGAGGTAGGAGTTGAGATGCATTACTTTCCTACTCAGAAAAAGACTTTCTTGTCTTTTTTTTTTTTTTCCAACGTTTTTTTTTTTATTTATTTTTGGG